GAATCGGTGTTGGCACGCGTGAACACAAGGTCTTCACCGTAATTGCTATCCCCACGAACCACAATTCCAACTAATAGCACTACACCGACAATCCATCTCGAGCTACTGTAGCGGCAACTATATATTTACGGCAAGGTGTATCTGTTCCACGGTTTTTTAACCGCGGTTTCTTTCTTCCAAACGTTTCTTGCATACCTACGCGTCGCGGGAAAAAGAAACTCGCGTGAAAGGTAACGCATCGTTTCCAGTTAGATAATTTATTGCACTCGGGGATACGGTCGTTGTAATGAGAATTTTTTTAACAGCCGTTTATCAAACTCATGTTTTATTCGTTTTAACATTCGTTGAGGTATAAGTTTTATTTCACGTACGAGTAATGATATCTTCGATCTTCGGGTAATGTATAATGTGTGTAAGAAAAAAATATTCATCCTCGGTTGAAAACTTTTAGAATTTAGTATTGAATTTATTGTTTCTATTGACACGAATAATGGAAAATTAATACACGTAAATATAACGTGTATGCTAATAATCGATAATTAAATATCTACGTTAAAATTTTAATACAAATGCCAATTCATTTCGACATCCTCGTACGATTTCATTGTTAAGAAGGTTTTAATTTTAAATGAAATTTTATAGGTTTAAAGAACAAGCAAAAATAATAAAGTTTTTTTGATATTCAAGAGTATTTAAGAAAATTTAGCATAGAATGTTTACCGTATCTCTTTGAAGAAATACAACAATTGTTTGGATTATTAAAAAATGGCATCATGAGATCGCAAACATGCTCTTTGAACACAGCCTCGCTGTTAACTGTTTACAAAAGTATCTAATTAGTAATTAGTTATTTGCTTACTTAGAAATTACTACGTAATTAGAAAAGTCTACCATTAATTTACAGTGTAAACGAATAAGATTCTCGAATCATTTGCATGTTCCAATATGGTGTTACAGCATATAGTACCTACAGCATTTATATAACATTCAAGTATTGAACAGCCGCGAGCAAAAAATTTTCACTTCTAAACTTAGAAAAATGCATGTACCAGCTTTCTCCAATCATTTAAAATTTACATGCGTTGTCAACATTTTTCTCATAACTTTTACTGATCTCTACATTGCACCAGAACGAATAGAAATATTTCGTTTAAGACAAACGATAAAGAAAAAATCATAGATCGAGCAATATCACGAATAGAAAATTCGTTTTGTATCCTAATTATTTATATAATCAATAACTACATGGTGCTTACGTGTAATATTCACTAGCTGAGTTCATAAGATAAATAGCGTTAAGAACAGCTGAATCTCATTCGTTGCGCATTATCCTCACATCGTATATCATTCTTGTCTTCTTACTTGTGTAATGAAATGTAATAAGAATTTTACAATTATCTTCGCGATTTAAATAAAAATTGAATAGATTATTTTACAACGAATACGAAATCAATATGTTTGGAAAAATATAGAATATTAATCTAAAATAATAACAATTCTATTGATTGTATAAATAAAATAAATTGTCATTAAGAATTAATTATACTTTTACATTTATGTTTATCCATGCTTCTGAAAATTTTATTCGAATAATTTTATAATTGGCAAATTGTTACTACGTTTTATATTTTATAGACATATTCTGATAATCAGAATTCTATGCAAAAAAATAAACAAAGTAACGATAAATAAAAAAATATTCCATACCAATAAAAGTGACTTTCAGTCAGATGCGTTCTATATATTTCATAAAATACGTATAAAATTACTGATAATCACAGTAATCTTAAAACGCATAAATCGATATATCATTAGTATAACGTATAAACAACAAGTTAAAAAATAAAAAATATAATCCAAGAACTAAGTTGAAACAATAGATATTTGGGATGTAATTTAACGTAATGATGAAAATCTGCAGGCTATGAATAGAGAAAAGGAAGAAAAGGAAACGTGCAAAAACTTTATAAAATATTACACGGATTGCGATCGTTTGTCTCACTTTTGTTTCACACTTTCCAAATCAATGGTAATAACAATAATAATCTTGGTAAAATATAGCGGTAATAAAATTGTTTTAAAACGTGTAAAAATTCGTGTAACCAGTGATCACACGAAGCTAACACTGATTGCGCGAAGACAGGCAGCGGTAACAGATGGTCACGGTGGCAGTTAACGCGTTAATGAATAATAAAGTGGCAATTTGGTCGGTTTATTTATATCTCATTCAGAAGAGCTTGTTCGAAAGAGCCGCAGCGATCAGGATGATACGCGCCCCAGGCAACCATAGGCACCGGTGTTATGACGTACAAGATGTAGACCGCAAGCTTAAAGGATTTATAATGATCAAACCGCGTAAATAGCACTTGAGCACTAGATAAACTACTTAATTCTATCGTGTCTCTACTTTTTCACGCCTATGTGACTATTCTATTTTTATAACTTTCATTCCTGCCAGATGGAAAGGTATATCACTACTTTTTTGATACCTTCACGTCTTGTCTTATCTGGAAAATCTTGATTATCAAATTTCATGATATATGCCCGTTTGTACGGAATTAAGAGACGATTGAAACAATATAAATAATATATAGATACATTATTTTTTGGTAAGTTTATTCGATAGGTGTCATGATAATTTAATCAAATGGAAACAACATTCAAAACTGTCTTTTGAATGATTTTCGTTTATGGATTATTATTTTAAGTTCATTATTATTATAAAGAAATTGTTAATTAAACAAATATGCGAATATGTTTTTTATAATACCAATTATTAACGCTATATTATAATATATTAATATTTTTTTCATAATATTTAATATATAACGTGGCAGATGTTTTATCATATTTATCATAACTAAAAAAGGGGAAAAATTATTTAGATAAATATACAATCCACCTTGACTTTGAAATTTTCTCATCACAAAGATAAGATATTGAAAGATTACGAGTGCTATCTAAAAAAAAAAATAGTATAATGAAATAGTTTGATTATACTATTTCATTATACTTATATAGATTAGAAAAATTTTTATTATACGTGATAATGTGACTAACGATTTCTTGATTGCAAATAGATACTGACAATTTTTTTAAGAATTAATAAACGAATTATAAAATAAAAAATTTTAATTAGACAGTTAAAAAAAAACAGTTAAACAAGACTTCTTTTTATATTTAAATAACGTTCGTTGTTGAGTCATCTTTTAAAAAAAGTTTATTCGTGTGATAAATTTTCATGTTGGAAAATATTCTCATAAATAAGAAAAAGATTTAAAAATTTGAAAATATGTTGTACATACTACAAGATAATATTTTCGATAATGAATTCTAAAAAATTATAATATGTCAATTGAAAAAATAAAATCATTGTTGAAAAATCATGACAATGACTACTATAATGGCTACTACATTTCTATACAAACAGATACAACAATGGAGTATTCCAATGGTTTTAAATTCACTGAAGAGAAAATCACCAATAGCTACTTGTATACTTACGTTTATTCACGAAAAAAAAAAAAAAATAAAACAAAAATATTTAATAGAAGAATACTAACAAAAGTTTGATAATTTACTTTAATTCTTTCGCATTTATACCATTTACTTTCTATCTGTTCATATATTATAGATATAGATAGGAAATATTATAACTTAAAATATCGTTTACGTGATATTAATAACAATATGATAGAATATCTATCTTAAGTATCTTATCACGTGGAATATTTTATATTTTTAAAAATAATTTTTTATTTTTATTTTGCGAAAAATTATTAGAATATTATTAGAATAGATATTTTCAAACAAGTATCGCTTTTTATATTGATCTGAATATTGATTAAATATTTTTAATTAATTTCTGCAAATATAATACTCACCTCTATATTCTTTGAGTCCCACTTAAATCTTACATTGATGAACACAATCGGCTGATATACATATGTTTCAATATATATCTTCCTGATGATGACACATTAAATTCTATCTTCCAATAAAAATACAATTACAAATCTTCGCGTGTTGAATAAATGTAATAAATTGTGCAATCATTTGACAATTATCACTTATAAATGATCACTTTCTGCATTTCAATTGATTCGATTTTATCGTTAAGAGTTGACGAATACCAAATTGACATGAACAAATATATACTGGAAGCATAAATCTTGTAATATTGTTTATTGTAATGGTTTTAACACCTGTGTCCTCGACTCTAAATTTATTCTCGAGAAACTTAGTGCACCATTGTATTTTATAATGTTTTATCAGAAATAAAATCCGAATAATAGAAATAGTTCTTTAGAATAATATGTAATATAATTTTTGATTTATATACTATCAAAAAAATTTAATTTGTTAATGTTCTACAATTTCATCATTTTACTTTAATAAAAGTGCATGATATATAAAGAAAATTTATTACATATTGTTAAAATATGAATGTTGTTGCCAATTTCGTGCGCCAACTATTTCACGACAAAGAAATCTATCTTTTAATCATTAAACCGTCAAAATTAAATTTACTCTTGTCATTTTTCCAACAAAAATATAAGAATAATCGGCTCATCAATAACGAACTTATATTAGAAACTTTCTTCAATAATTCTGAAGGAATTTAACGAATTTCAAACAATCACTCGTGGAAATCTCATAAATAAAATCAAGTAGGCAGTAAATTTATAAACGAAACAATTTTGTTCAAAATAGAATCCCAAATAAAATTCTTCAAACAGAAGATTATTAAAACTAGAGAATAAAGAAAAATAGAAATTATTATTATTATTTTTTTTTCTAATCATATTAGATACATAAAAATGTAATTTTACATAATTATATATATAATATCAATTAAAAAAATTTTTCATTTTTTATAGAATATTCATTTCATATAATTATATTTTTTTTATCGAAAATAAAACAATATTAAATCGTCAATAATGGAAATATTAGCATAAAAAATACATAAGTATAAGATTGAGAAAAAGATACTTTACCATCGACCATACGTCTCACTACTTCTTCCGGATTAGCCCCTGCATATTTTAAATTGATGTACATCAATAACAGTGCTTCCCAAGGATACTGGAAAAGTTCTACAAGTTTGCTACTGTGCTCCAATAGAATTTCCACATTTTCACCTAAAACAGAATCGAAATAAATAGTTAGAATAAAATATATATTCAATCAAGTTCGATTTTATGCAACTATTAACACAATTTTATTAATAAATGCAAAAAGTTTAAGAAGTTTCTGTTAAGAATGATTAAATCTGTTTAAAAAAATAAAATTTATGATGATAAGGTAATAAAATCTAACGGATGCTATTAATTAATATAAATGAATTATTTACGCAATGAATCTGACATACTAAAAAATTGATTTCTTTAATGATGCATATATTACATTTCCTTGCATGATTTATTACATATTACGATGCAAAAATAATATACATAGGTTATGTTCGATTATAGAAATGTTATACCTAACCTATATCTAAACGAGCACATATGTGTATCGATTAAAAATCATATCTTATTTCGATTAAAAATTGTTATATCGAAAATTGTTATTATCTTTAACGATATATTTATTTTCCTAATATAACGTAAACTTCTACGAACCTTCAAAATTTCTACCAAAAAATCAAACGCTGGTGACAATAAAACACAACTCCGAAATCAACTCCACTATTCGCGGCATGCCACGTGGTCTCCGATTCATCCCGAAGTTGTCCGAAAAACGCGGTTCGCGCATGCGCACACGCTCAGAAACCTCGTGGCGCCGTACATATCGATTCGAAACAATCAACAATACTCGTTACTCCGGTTGGCGAACCGAAGCCGTTCTGCATAAGGGGTGGGAAATAGTGGTTCGGTAGGGGATATAATTGTTTCTGTGCAAGAGAAATAAGTGAGCGAACATGAACAAGGACAATAATTCCCCAGCCATTATAACATGATGTATTATATATATTATGGCAGCCAATAGTAGCGCGTCCGCTCACCACAGCTCCGCCTATAAGAGGCATTCTGGGTCGTTTTTAAAAGGCGGAAATAATCCTCCCCTCCTGCCGACCTACGTTACGTTCTCTTTCTCCTTATTCCGTTGCTGTTTCTCCTCCTACATAGCGGACTGCCGCTTTTTCCAAGTGGACCGAATCTACTCCTCCCTCTTTCACGTTGCCATCCCCCTACGTTCTATCGAATAGACACCACGACGCGGGCCGCAGGTGCCGCTCCACCGGGACGCCAATCGTTGGGTCCCTCCTTTTCTATGCGCAGGTGAACCCGGCCAACCACGTGCTCCGTACCCGCGCGTATGCGTGTTTAACTCTTTGGAAGTGGCATGCTGCCTCCGTTAAAGAGCGAGAGAGGAGTGGAGAGCGCAAACATTGGAGTGGGAGAAAATTAAATTCTCCAAGAGAGACACAGGGGGAGAGAGAGCGAGAGGGAGGGGGAGAAAAAGAAAAGAGAGAAAGAGAATCTAATAGAGGGACTGCCCTCTGACCGAAGAAGGTCTCCGACGATATGGAGAAGAAAAGAGAAAGACCGTTCGATGCCGTCCGTCCTTGCTTTCTGCTCGTTCACGATATTGCTATCGCTCTTTCCTCTTTTCAATCATTTTTCTTTTTTTTCTTTTTTTTATCAATCTCATCCCCTCCTCTCTCAAACATTAAGTGTCCTTCTTGTTAGCCTCTTACGTACCTGTGATAGTCTCACAGGTATGTTGCTGCTTTCCCTTCGTTTCGCCATAATGTCGATGAGGTGCAACTTACTATACAAAGAAAGACATGTGTGGTTGAAAACTAGTCTTCATTGAAGGAGAAAATACGCGGAATTTTTTTACTTGGATGAAATGGAAAGTAAAGAATATGGGTATAGGTGTAAGTAATGGAGCACAACCCGTAATTCCTTATAAGCTCATAGCTCGCGACATACTTCTTGTATATTTAGCCGAGACATGAAACTCTAGTCCTGTTTAATCTTGGCTGGTAATAGAAAGAATGTGTAAGAGGAAGAGGAATAGATGGTCAAAACAGATAAAGAATTTAAATGCCTCTGTTCGATATTACTTGCTTGACTGGATCCAAGGAAGATTCTTGCTCAGCGCAGTGGAAATGATGCCCAAGCAAAGGAGAATTTCCAGTGCATTTAATTCTAGTATTAGATAGTGGTATAGATATCATGTATGGAATTTTTCTAAATAATCTGACGGGATTATTATACAAAATTTTCTTTATTATAAAGAAAAGCTTTTGTCGTTTATAAAAATGAATAAAAACTGCAACGCTATATTTTAACGAATTAAGATTGAATATAAACATGTAGCATAATTTATAATTTCCTCAACAGAATTTATTTATCTATCGTAATATAAGGAACTTGCAAAATGAACTGCAAAGTTATTATTACACGTTGGAAAACACTTTTGAACAAGATCAGATGACATGCTATGCATGACATGTTCACATTTGAGACGATCGATAAAGTATGTAATACTTTATCGCATGTAATTCGCGAATGGTAAAAGGATGATGATAAATAATGAAAATTTTTGACACCATTTAAATAATAATAGGTTTTACTTGACGAAAACGTTAAAATGAAATAGAATCAATTATCTTGCAAATAGATAAAGATATCGGGATATCTACGATATTAACTATATTCTTGTTTATATTAATTTCTAATGCTTTGAAAAGTTATTGCAACAAGTTATTTGTAACAAATTCAAAAAATAAATTTTTTAATATATATATTCAGATAACGTTTCAATTTTAATTTTCCTTATTTTATTTTATGTAAAGAAAAATAAAATATTTTGAAAACATCAAGTGAATATTTAAAATACATTCTTTTTGTTTAATATTCATCTGCACATTTATAATTTTTTAACTATTTAACTCGATCCAATTTGAAATACTTTGAGATAAACCTACTCCATTTTTCTACTAACATTTATTTAAATTTTTCCAATATTTTTGGCTCTTATTTATACTCAAAATTTTTTATTCGAAAAATAATTGAAAGTTATTAATAAGAAATAAATTATTAAAATAACAAAAGCGTTAATCACATTTGAAACAATATTTTAATAAAAATTTTCGATTCTCTCTATGATATTGTAAGTAGGATTGAGGATATGTTTTTAATATGAGAATTATGATGAAAGACGATGTTTGTGGAGATTGATACAAGCTACAATTGCACTTGAATGTATCCAGCATACAGTACGGTAATTTGGACGATACAAAGTCCGCATAATAAAATAATTTTTATCTATTTATAAAAGTTTTTCAAGAGCAAACCCATAAAATTATGAATACGGTATACTTTGTATATGACAATATAATCATTAAATATTTATCCTCACAATAAAGAAATTTGAATTGGAGCAAGGAATCTATGAGAATCTATGAGAAACTATGAGAAAGAATGTATTTATAGAAAAAGTATATTATCATTTTTATTCGATAGTTTTATTTTCCTAACATGAAATTAATAGAGTAATATGTTGAAACAAATTTATCATAGTTAGCTAATTAATCTTAGAATATCATGAGCAATTGATATCACATAATTTTGTTTCACAACTATGTACCAATGAATTAGCATATCATATCTACAGTTTAAAAAAGAAATAAATATAAAGCCAAATCTGTATAACGCTCGTATATAATAACCGTGAAAGGTTCGCAGTTATTTAATCCATCGAGCCATCAAAAACAATTATTACGAATCAAATTATAAATAAACAGGTTCGTGTTTAAATCGACGAGTGAAACTGTAACAAGGCTTTCTCGATGAAGTCGATACCGAGAACTTGAGGAGCTTTTGTAAGCAGTCTCTACGTCGTAGTGGCGTGAGAAGTTTATAAGATTGTATCCTATCAATCGTCACCATGCCGTTTAATCACGCTGTGAATATTTCACGAGAGCAAAGAAACTAATATTTTATTATATTAAAATTTTTGATTAATCATTTACATTTATTTGCGAATACGCAGAGAGATCTTTCATTCATTAAGAAACACGAATATATTTATAATTAAATTCTTAGATAGATCCAATGAATAATTTTAATCAAATTGTATCGGTCATCAATTTTGTTTTCTTGATTAGATTTTTTGGCGGCCAAAAATTAGAATGTTTTAAACTTTTTGGGGAAAAAATGAGAATACCATATATTGAAGAACATAATTTGTATCGTTATTGGAATTAAATGATTTCATGATTAATGGTAAATACTCGAAATATGTTAAATAAAATAATATTAAATAAATATTTTATTGATATAAAAAGAATATCTAATCTATTTATCGATATTAGTGTTATAACACAAGAGAAAAAGTTATTTTATGTTATTGTTTCCATAGAAACGAATTTATCATTGCAATACAATTATGAAACAAGCCATTAAACGCTCTTCCATCATAAAAGAAAATTTGCATTTTAGCTATTATTATTACTAAAATAATGTTTCCAATCAAAAATTAAAAATTGTAGGTCTAAAAACATCATATTAAGCATCAACAAAAAACAAAAAGAAAAAGATCTATTAAATTAAATTCGTTATGAGTTGACCATTAAATCGTCAAACAATAATTAACTAACGTAAGTCCTACTTCATACGATATGACGAAACATAGATTACATAACAATTCCATTATACCTAAACTCTGAGATAAATTACTATGCATTTACAATTTCTGCATTCTTTCATAACGATAATAGGCAACAATGATTTTACTAAGATGATGTATAATGTAATTTTTGATTCTGAATTTATTTTAATCATTCTTCTTGTCTGAGGAATATTATATGTACAAATTTTTCATCAAAAATTTGATTATACGCTTCATTCAAGTATCGTAAAAAATAATTACAAACTTTTTATGATATACAGAATTAATAGAATATTTACATACTTTACTTAATCAAATCTTGTGAACTTGAAAAAACTTTCTTCGCGAATTGATTTCTTTCTTCTTTTTCTAAAGGCGAAACTTATTATATAACATATACTAAATCTTGTTATTATAATATTATAGTTTTCATATATATTATTTTTGAACTTCTTATTATTTATGTATTCGAAAATTTATATCTGAAGAAACACAATGAATCTTTCTTCCCTCA